ATGTGATCAAACTCGAAAGCTCAGTGTTCTATAAAGGCAGGCAGGTGCTGGGAGGCACTGACTACTTCAGCATGAGAATGCTGGTTCTTCCTTTGGGAGAGAGCAGGGCAATGACATGGGACGGGGGCAGGAAAGTCCTGGGTAGAGAAGGGCAGGTCCCTGGCTACGGCTCCACCCCCGGGCCTGTGCCCACGGACCCAGGCATTTCTGCTTTTGTGCCCAAATGTTGCATTTCCCAAGACCACCCTGGCCCACCACACTCCCATATTGTGCCTGTAAAAGTCCCAAGACCCTAGCGGGCAGAGACACAAGTGGCTGGCCTGGAGAGGAACACACTGGCAGATGCCAGCAAGCCATTGACTGGCTGAATGACACCGAGATTGGTTAGGGCGGTCAGAGGAGAGCACGGCCGCTGGACAGCCCAACTCCATGGGAAAACCACCTTCCCACTCCATCTCCATTCTGGCTCCCCCGTCTGCTGAGAGCTACCATCACCCAATAAAAATCCTTGCACCCATCCTCCAAGCCCACCTGTGATCTTATTTTTCCAGTACACCAAGGCAAGAACCCAGGATACAGAAAGCCCTCTGTCCTAGTGATAGGGCAGAGGGTCTAACTGAGCTGATAAACACAAGCCGCCTACAGACAGCTAAACTGAAAGAGCGCCCTGTAACACACGCCCACTGGGGCTTCAGCTGTAAACATTCACCCCAGACACTGCCGTGGGGTCAGAGCTGCACAGCCTGCCGGTCTCTACGCTCCCCTGGAGGTTTGAGCAGTGGGACACTGAGGAAGCGAGCCACACCCCCATCGCACACCCTGCGAGGAGGACAAGGGAACTTTTCCCATTTCAACAGGTCTCTATCGCATTCTACACAGCTGTCCTAGAGGATGAACAGAAGGACACCAAGCCCCTGAGCTGGCTCTGGAGTCAGTCTGGGTTCGAATCCCAGCTCTGCATTCTCCAGCCCATGACTGTGATGGAGTTAGTAATAATATCCATTTCATAGGGTCGTCGTAGAGAGTAAGACGGTAAAGCTCCCTACCTAGCCCATGTAAAGTCCACAGTAAGGGTCTGCTGCTGTTGTCCTGAGGCATCATGAGATGTCTTAGAATTCTAGACGTGAGACATGCAGCCTGGAGGCGGCTGTACTTCTGTCTGCTGGAGCGCCAGCTGAGAGGCCTGATGTATCCAGTTCTTTAATCATTACTTACGGGAAATGGAGTTGATGGAAAGACAGGGAACCCCCCACCACCTGGAGCGTGAGTGATACCACGTCACCCAGCGATAAAATCCGCATCTTTACGGGGACACTATTTTTACATAATGCAAATGACACAAAAACGAAAATGCACTTTTGGTACCAGAGTGTGTGATTCTCGCCCTGCGTGTCGGGACGCTGCAGGTTTCTTCCTGGCTTTCCACTACTGCCACTGCAGACCTCTCAGCTCTTCTCGGAGCTCCAGGTTCTGCTTCCTCAAAGCATCTATTTGACTCTGGAGTTTTCTGTGAACATCAGCCCACAGAAACTCCTGTCTCCCGAGCTCTTGGTGGAGTCTGGTGATCTGCTGCTGTAATGGCTGTTATTGGGAAAAGAACACCAGAAAATCTCTCAGACACACAACCAGCACATTCATCTGCAAAATACTTAAGCCCTCTCTGATGTAAGACCAACATCTTTCTAGACAAAAAGACACCTGATGAGATAAACAGGACAACCGTAGTCTTTTTTTTTTTTTTTTTGAGGCAGGGTCTCACTCTGTCACCCAGGCTGGAGTGCAGTGACATGATCTCAGCTCACTGAAGCTTCAACTTCATGAGCTTAAGTGATCCTTTTGCCTCAGCCTCTGATGTAGCTGGGACTATAGGCATGCAGCACCACACTGGCTAATTTTTGCATTTTTAGTAGAGATGGGGTTTCACCATGTTCCCCAGACTGATCTCAAACTCCTGGGCTCAAACGATCCACCCACCTCAGTCTTCCAAAGTGCTGGGATTACAGGCATAAGCTATCAAGCCTGGCCACAACTTTATTCTTATTAAGTAGTGTTTATTATGAGTTAGTCCACATACTATAACCAGATAAAGATGGTCAGTGAATTAGGATTCTTTGTTAAAACACTACTACAGCAATAAGAGGCTGGTATTCTTTTTCCTTCCTTTTTTTTTATCTTTTTTTTTTTGAGACAGGGTCCTGCTCCACTGCTCAGATTGGAGTGCGGTGGCACATTCTCAGCTCACTGCAACCTACACTTCCCAGATTCAAGCAATTCTGGTGCCTCAGCATGCTGAGTAGCTGGAATTACAGGCACATGCCACCACACCCGGCTAATTTTTGTATTTTTAGTAGAGACAGGGTTTTGCCATGTTGGCCAGGCTGGTCTCGAACACCGTGCTGTCATGAACATATGGTCAACAGATTAAAAACTATGGGAGCCACTGCATTTTCAACTTGACACGTTAGCCTTCCCGTGGCATCCTTCATTGGACCGTAGCGCCTCCAGTCTTGCTCTGAGAATAAGCGGGATCGTGATAAAGGTACAGCCCTGCACTGCGTGGCCCTGGCCACAGGGACCCGTGGCACTTTCATGTCCAACAGGGTCCGGTGAGGAAGGTGCTTGCTGGGATGATGTGAGGCATGTCAACATTCTGATTTTCTTTAATGAAGTTTTTAAAGTCTGGTGCCTTCTTCTGGATTAGAGGAGCAAAGCTGGAATGTTAATATTTTCTTTAACTCCCCATCCTGTCTCCCATCCACCAAGAGAGAAGGTTGCAGAGGGGAAGAGAGCCACGTGCCCCTCAGAGAGGAAGTTCAGCATCAGCATCCCGGGGTGACTCATTCCTACAGGGGTCCAGCGAGGGAAAGTCCAATGACAGCCCTCAGGGACAGGAATCAGGGTCCCGCCTGGTAAGACTGACTCTGTCCCCACAAAGCTCAGCTCACCAGCATCTCCCTGGCGTTGCCGTCCTCCCTGGGGACCTCGGCTGCCGCAGCTGTCTTCTCCATAGCAGCCCCAGCTCCCGGGCGTGGGTCTTCTGGGTGGGTGCCCTCCTTGGGCTCCCCAGCGTCGAACTGACCTGACCTTCCAGCATCCTGGTTGGGAAAGGAAGGGCTACAGCGAGGCCTGAATGCACCCCCGCTACCCTGTCAGTGTGGGCTAAAGGCCCCAACCTCAGCCTAAGGGCGAGCAGGAACCACAGCCGCTCTTCTCCCCCGGGGTCCTGTGCACATTTCTAAGCCTGAAGCTGACCAGGTGAAAGGACACCACAGACGGAGGGACTGAGTGTGAGCAGGATGTGAGCAGGTGTGAGCAGATGTGAGTGGGATGTGAATGGAATGGTCACAGAGTATGAGCGGGTGTGAGCAGGATGGTCACGGGGTGTGAGGGCACAGGCAGACCCTCCACTGTGTTGAGTCTGAGTCTTGAACCATCAGATGTCTTTTGTGAATTCATGGTGAAGACGCGGAAAGGAAACCCCTTTTTATAGGTACAGCATTTATGCCAGTTCTAGGAAGCTCACAGCAATCAGAAAACTAAAACAAAAGAGAAAATGCAAAGCTTCCTGCAAGCCTGCAGGGTCCTCTCTGAAAGCCGCTCCCACCCCGCTTCACCCTCTCAGTTTTAGGAAGCGAGTGACCCCCAACGAAACCCCTGCTGTTTATTCATAAACTTCTCACTGTATACAAACCTGAGAATGAAGTTTAACCACAGTGATCGCAGAAATGCTGTTTAAAAGAGAGTCTCCTGATGGAAGCGAATCGAAGGTCAAGAACAAGACCTACCAGTAACCAGATCCCTGGCCGTTCCCTCCCCGCGGGGACTGGGACAGTTTCTGTGGAAGTGGGCGGGGATCCACGGTCCTCACAGCCCTGAGGAAGCTCCTTCTTTCCGGCTCCTCTGAGGGGATACCCCAGTGTCCTCGGCCCCAAACTCGTGACCCCCTCAGTCCAGGGAAGACCCCTTCCCTCCACCCCAACACCAGACCTCGTTACCTCACCTGATCCCCCCCCAGTCACTTCTGCTGGGACTAGATCATCTGGGCCATATCCCCACAGCTGTCCCCAAGTCCTCCCGCCTCATCTCCAGAGCCCAGAAAGCAGCAGACGGTTCCAACGGACTTTCTGTCTTAAAGGGGCATGAGCGTCTCACTCAGCGTCACCACTGGACCAGCTCAGATAATGATTAAACACCCCAAACCTGCAATTCGAACAAAGAATCTCATTGTCAGTGGAGTCCGTCCATCCACAAAGGACATTGGAAAGAGTCAAACTGCTCCTTCTCATTGACAAAAACCATGTGTTTAATATCAGGTCTTCAATATGCAACGTGTAGTAAGAGCTCATTTCTCTGAGCATATTCTCGAAGACATATAAACTTTCTTTGGATGTCACATTATTTACTAGAAAAAAATTTTTGTGGAGCAAAAATACTATATGTGAGTTTGAATAGGAGACAGGATTCAAATTTTCATCATTTCACAAAATGCATCTCCATCTGAATTGTCTTGTGATTTTTGTGATAGAGAAGAGAGTGAAGAGCAAGCGACAGTCCACATTCCTGTTAAGCCCTGGCCGTCCTTCTCATCCACGTGCTGCCTGTGGAAAACACACCTGGGGCTCCCCTGAGGCTGCTCGTGCTGCGTGTCACCGGGATAGTTGTGCAAGCCACTGGCATGCAATAGGCAGTAAACACCGACGTCGTGAATGAACGAAGAAACTACCACAAAGAGGAAACAGAGGCACTTTTGTCCCTGCGCATCATTCTAACCATGGGAGTGTGGGTCCTGAGGAGTGTGAGGGGGTGTGTGTGTGTTCTGAGGTGTGTGAGGGGTTGCGTGTGTGTCCTGAGCTGTGTGAGTGGTTGTGTATGGGTCTCTGAGGTGTGTGAGGGGTTGTGTGAGTCCTAAGGTGTGTGAGGAGTTGTGTGTGTGTGCCCTGAGGTGTGTGAGGGTTGTGTGTGTGTCCTGAGGTGTGTGAGGTGCTGTGCGTGCGTCCTGAGGTGTGTGAGGGTTGTGTGTGCGTCCTGAGGTATGTGAGGGTTGTGTGTGTGTCCTGAGGTGTGTGAGGGTTGTGTGTGTGTCCTGAGGTGTGTGAGGGGTGTGTGTGTCCTGAGGTGCATGAGGTGTTGTGTGTGCGTCCTGAAGTGTGTGAGGTTGTCCGTGTGTCCTAAGGTGTGTGAGGTGTGTGTGTCCTGAGGTGTGTGAGGTTGTGTGTGTGTGTCCTGAGGTGTGTGAGGGTTGTGCGTGTGTCCTGAGGTATGTGAGGGTTGTGTTAGTTTCTGTGCTCCTCTCAGGTGCTGCACTGGCTGGTCTCGAACTTCTGGACTCAAGCGATCCACCTACCTCAGCCTCTTAAAGTGCTGGGATTACACACTCTTTAAGCATGTTCTCTGTACAATATTTTGTAAAAATTGAGAATAAGAAAAGACATTGCCTCTTTAAACAAGGTGATAAGGCAACATATAAAAACTACTTAATCTACATTAGTGAGTACTTACAATAATTATATTCTAAAGTTTTTTGTTTAAAATGAATTGGGGGAACACATTGTGCTCTTCAAGGTAATGAACAGAGAAGAATGTCCAATGATTGTTAGCCATCCCAATAATGTATTTACTCTATGTTGTGTTATTTTGTTTTTTAGTAGGACCCAAGTGATTAGAAAGGATATCACATAGTCAGTGACCAGCTGAGAATGAGTGCGGACAGGGGAAGAAGCTAACTTAGACCTAAAGGGACCGGGGTCAGGAGACATTTCTAGATAAACCACTCAACCATATAACATCAACCCATGGCTTCCAATACCAGTGCTGAAGAGGCCACAGAGGAGAGAGAATCCTGAGAAGGTTTTTAACATCTGAAAGTTCTTGTATTACAAGAAGTGGAAAGTTTCTTGATATGTGTATGAAGGCCAAGATTGAGATAGAGGTACTAAGGGTGGGATGATACCACATTGAGGCTGGGAGTTTTACTTCTTTTAAATCTTTCTGTAGGTATACCTCTGTGGATCCCTACCACTTCTAAACCATAGTTACAAGGCCAATAAATACATAGAACAATGTTCCTACTGCTCGTGGGCCTCATGCTCTTCCTAATAGCTCTATCGGAACCCTTTATTGCTCATGACCTTGTGTCCATGTCATGCTATCTGATTATTCATCATTTTTCCTGGATCTGCTTGATATGAAATGTGGATACAGCCATGTTTGAAGAAACATGTTATAGGAAAAGAAACTCTGACCTCAGAATCTGAGGATTTGTATAATTTGGTCTTTACACAAAAGAATTATGTAATTTTGGGCAAGTCCCTTAATACAGTACTTGAACTCAATTTTATTGCCCTTTCTAGGTCTAAACTCTCAGCTGTGAGTAGTAATTTGTGGCATCATGGTGAGGTGAAATGACAGAGGCTCATGGCACGTCATTGCAGAATATCCATTAGACTTTCACAAGTCACCATCATGGATTTCAGGATCTGACTGCTCATCACCGTGGGAGACGTCAGGATCTGACTGCTCAACACTACAGGAGACCTCAGAATCTAACTGCTCGTCACCATGGCAGACGTCAAGATCTGACTGCTCGTCACCATGGGAGATGTCAGGATCTAATTGCTTGTCTTCACAGGAGACGTCAGGTACAGCTTAACAATTAGCTAAGGGGTTCATCTTACAGATACCTCTAATTACTGCTTTAGCTAAAAGCCCCCATGAAAGACACGGGTTTACTCCATCATATGAACCCATGGTAAATATTCTGTGACCTGATACTTATCCAGTCAGAGCTCTGTTAGACATAACTAAATAGTTGCCAGAAAAATGAAAATAATACTCATAATATTAGTCTCGAAATACTACAAAATCATGGGACTTTTGAGTCATCAGTGAAGGTAAAAGCTCAATGCAACATGTTTCTATTCTGTTACTTGTTATTTTCTAATTCATTAACTGTAAACTAACTGACAATCTCCAGTGCCCAGCACTGTGCAGGCCATTGCAAGGCTTAAAGACGAGTATGAGATGTGGTCCCGGGTGCCTGAGAAGTCAGGGCATAGTGAGAGAGACAAAGAGACTGCACTAGGACAATTAGCATCTAGATATTAGTAGCATGGTGCTGAGCAGAGTATTTCACACAAGAGGGGACACCTTTCCAGGTCTTGAGCTGAGGCAGCTTTCTGTAGGATCAGAGAGAGAGAAGGGATATTTCCAAAGGAAGGTGGTCAACCAAAGCCCAGGAGGAAGCAGTGGGTGCCTCCTCACCTGTGATTCTGCACCTGTGCTTCCTCACCTGTGCCTCCTCACCTGCGCCTCCTCACCTGTCTCCTCACCTGCGCCTCCTCACCTGCGTCTCCTCACGTGCGTCTCCTCACCTGCATCTCCTCACCTGTGCTTCCTCACCTGCACCTCCTCACCTGCGCCTCCTCACCTGCACCTCCTCACCTGCACCTCCTCACCTGTGCCACCTCACCTGCATCTCCTCACTTGTGCTTCCTCACCTGCACCTCCTCACCCACACCTCCTCACCCGCACCTCCTCACCTGCACCTCCTCACCTGTGCCTCCTCACCCGTGCCTCCTCACCTGCACCTCCTCACCTGTGCCTCCTCACCTGCACCTCCTCACTTGTACTTCCTCACCTGCACCTCCTCACCTGTGCCACCTCACCTACATCTCCTCACCTGCGCCTCCTCACCTGTGCCTCCTCTCCTGTGCTTCCTCACCTGTGGGGAACTGTGCAAAGACTGGCCCAATGGTAGAGGAGCTGTTCTTCAGGACATAAACCTGGAGGTATAGTATGGCTCAGATCATGATTCTTTCAAAATTCAGACACTCAACCTGGACTTAACATGGTCATCAACAGAATGGTTTTAAGTTTACCAAGATGAAATTTGTAGATTATAAAAGATTATTCTGGCAGAAGCATATAAAGAAATTAGAAGAGGAAGAGAGAGAAGCCAAGTCCAGTTAGGAAACCACTTAGTAACCCAGTCATGAGGGAAAAAGGTCTAAGCTACCAAGTTTACATATTTAGTGCATAAAATGTGTGATAGACAGAATAATAGTCGCCAGAGATGTCCACATCCTAATCCTTGGAACTTGGAAATATGTCACCTTACAAAAGGGACTGTGGGGTGATGAAGTCAAGGATCTCGAGATGGAGAGGTTATCCTGGATGATCTGGGTGGGCTCAATGTCATCACTACGGTCTTTACATGAAGGAGGTCAGAGGGTCAGAGTCAGAGAGATGATGTGACAATGAGAGGAGGGCAGCCGGGTGTGGTGGCTCATGCCTGTAATCCCAATAGTTTGGCAGGCTGAGGTGGGTGGATGACTTGAGGCCAGGAGTTCAAGACCAGTCTGGCCAACATGATGAAACCGCATCTCTATGAAAAATACAAAAATTAGCCAGGTGTGGTGGTGCACACCTGTAGTCCCAGCTACTTGGGAGGCTGGAGTGGGAGGATCACTTGAGCCTGGGAGGCAGAGGCTGCAGTGAGCCAAGATAGTGCTGCTGCATTCCAGCCTGGGCAGACGAGTGAGACCTTGTCTCAATAAATAAATAAGGAAAGAAAGACAGAGAGAAAAGAAAAAAAGGAAAGGAAGAAGAAAGAA